TTATTATATATGATTCTGTTTTTTAAAGCTAATTAGAGCCAGGAGTGAGCCAAACCTTGACTCCAATCAGTGTTTGATGATATTGGATGTGTTTGCTGACAGCTGTCCTGCCCTTAAAAAACACACACCTGTTTTTTTTTTTGGTTTCAAGAAGCACTGTCTGATGTGAACCATGCCTCGCAGAAAAGAGCTCTCAGAAGACTAAGATCAAGAGTTGTTGACTTGCATGAAGCTGTAGAAGGGTTTTTGTTTATCTTCAAAAGCCTTGATGTTCATGTGTCCACGGTTTGAAAGACAGACTGTCTACAAATTGGAGAAAGTTTTGTGCACTGTTTGCTACTTCCCTAGGCGTGGTCATTTTGTAAAATGACTGCAAGAGCCCAGCGCAGAATGCTGCATGAGGTAAAGAAGAATCCTCGAGTGTCAGCTTACCTACAGAAATCTCTGGCACATGCTAAAATTTTTTTTGACACATCTACAATAAGGAAAACATTAAACAAGAATGGAGTAACATTGGGAGGACACCACGGAGGAAGCCATTGCTGTTGTGTGTTTAAAGAATATTGCAGCACGTTTGAAGTTTGCAAAAGAGCACCTGGATGTTCCACAGCACTACTGGCAGAATATACTGTGGACAGATGAAACCAAGATTGAGTTGTTTGGGAAGAACACACAACACTTTTGTGTGGAGAAAAAAAAGGCCCAGCACACCAACATCAAAACCTCATCCCCACTGTGAAAAAATTATTTTTTTTCATGGTTTTTATTTTTGCTGCTTTTTTGCCTCAGGGCCTGGACGGATTGTTTCATTGATGGGGAAAATGAATTCCAGAGTTTATTTTGACATTTTGCAGGTAAAACATACGACCATTTGGTTTGGAATTAGGCCAACTGAAGTTCCGCAGAGGATGGGTGATGCAATTTATAGGGACAATGACCCAAAAGCATTTTTTTTTTTTCAACAAAAGAAATGGCTGCAACAGCCCAGAATTTTTCTTTGTGGCCCAGTTTTTTTTTGAGTCCTGGCCTCAAACCCCGACTTTTTTTGCTGTGGCATGACCTTAAGAGAGGTTTTTGATTCACACCAGGTGTTTGAATATTGCTACACTGATGAAACAGTTTTTTTGAAGAGTAGAGTGGTCCAAAAAATAGACTCCATTCGTTGTGCAGGTCTGATCTGCAACTACAGGAAACGTTTTGGTTGAGGTTTTTTGCTGCCAAAGGAGGGTCAACCAGTTATTAAGTTATAAAGGTTCACATACTTTTTCCTCCTGCACTTTGAATGTTTACATGTTATGTGCAATTAAAAACCATGGCAACATCTAAATGTTTGTGTAGTATTATGTTTTTTTAGACTGTGTTCTTCTTTGTTGTGACTTAGATGATTTTTAGTTCAGAGCACATTTTATGCCCAATTTAGATTTGCAAAACTCCACGTTTATTGTCCCAAGGGGCGGTTTTTTATACTTTTTCTTGCAACTGTTTTGATGTGTTGGGTGTTGTGTATATATATATTTTTATTGTGTGTTGTGTATATATATATTGGAGTTATGTTTTGTTGTGTTGTGTGTATATATATAATTTGTTATGTGTGTGTAACTATTTATATGTGTGTGTGTGTGTGTGTATATATATATTTTGTGTGTGTTTTATATATATATGTGTGTGTGTGTGTGTGTGTTTTATATATATTTATGTGTGTGTGTGTGTTATATATTATATAATTATGGGTGTGTGTGTGTGTATATATATATATATGTGTGTGTGTATATATATATTTTGTGTTGTGTGTGTGTATATATATATATATATGTGTGTGTGTGTGTATTTTATATATGTGTGTGTTTTGTGTATTTATATATTTATGTGTGTTTTCATGGTATATATATATATGTGGTGAGTGTGTGTGTATATATTATATATATGTGTGTGTGTGTGTGTATTTATATGTGTGTGTGTTGTTATATATTTATGTGTGTGTGTGTGTGTATATATATATGTTTTTTTTTTGTTGTATTTAATTTTGTTGTGTGTGTGTATATAATAATGTGTTTGTTTGTGTATATATATATATGTGTTGTGTGTTTGTATATATATGTGTGTGTGTGTTTTATATATATTTTTTGTGTGTGTGTATTATATATGTGTGTTGTTTGTTATATATATATGTGTGTTTGTGTATTTTATTAAATATATTTTGTGTGTGTGTGTATATAATATATAATATGTTTGTGTGTGTTTTTGTTGTATTATATATAATATATTTTTGTTATAAAAAGTCACAAGTTTTGTATATAAATATTGTGTTGTTGTGTATTTATATTTTTTTTTTATGTTTTGTTTGTTTTTTTATGTATATCATAAATTTTATTGTGTTTTGTTTTTTTATATTTTATTTATTTTTTTTTTTTTTTTTTTTTTTTTATATATTTTTTTTTTATGTGTGTGTATATTTTGTCTCTGTAACTAAACACACGGACCTAAATAAAACCATAAAATATAGTGGAAACACAACACATACATTTTGGTCTAAATTTCTGAAGAACAATGTATTTATTTATTTCCAAAAATTTATGTGTGTGGGGGTGTGTATAACGGAACACAAAGAAAAATGTGTTTTGTGTTTTTTTTTTATTTCATTTAATTAGCAAAAAATACCCCCCCCCCCCCCCCAGTGGTGATTAAATACCACCCAAAGAAAGCTCTAGTTGTGTGTGAGCAAAATGCTGAAAAAAATTAATTTGGGCACTGTGTTGGCATGACTGCACAATTGCCATTCAAAGTGTGGAACTGCTGACAGCTGAAATTGGGCTGGGGGGGGGGGGGGGGGCCAGTGCCGGTTCTGAAGAGGTTATTGTGGAAAGTGTATTTCTTTTGTTACAGAACATTAATTTGTTATAGGTCATTTTTTTTTGAAGACAGGTTTTTCTGAGCTTTAACCTGCTGTTTTGGTGACAGGGCCTCTTTACAACATCCATGTATGCGTGTTGATTGTATGTGTAATGCTCTGACGGGATGGATTTGTGTTTCCAGCTGCTTGCCATCCCGGTGGACAAAGCCGTTCACTTCTATGACCGCGGGCACTTGGAAGAGCAGCTTCTGTCTGTCTGATCATTTTATAACTCAGGTAGGTTCATTGATGGTGAAAAGTTAGTCATTGTGTTTGGTGATGTTTTTGGGTGAATATCTGAATTTTGGAGATTTTTCCACCTCATTTTGCCTTGCCCCATGTTTACCAGCCGTTCAGCGACTCCAGCAGTTGAGCGCCATCCCCAGGCTGGTCTGAATGAACATTCAGCTCCAGATGGCCCACAAAGTACCTACCTCTGGCATTACAGAGCCTCGTGGGCACTTCATATGTTCACCATAAAACACACGCCCAGCAAAATCATTTATTGAAAGTCGGTGGAGATGGGTTGGGAAGGCTCAGCATAGGAGGAGGTAGGTCTTTGCCATCATCTTGGAAGAGGGGGGAAGTGTCCGGACTGGAAGGGGGGGGAAAGTGTCCGGACTGGAAGGGGGGGAAAGTGTCCGGACTGGAAGGGGGGGAGAAAGTGTCCGGACTGGAAAAGGGGGGAAAGTGTCCGGACTGGAAGGGGGGGAAAGTGTCCGGACTGGAAGGGGGGGAAAGCGTCCGGACTGGAAGGGGGGGAAAAAGCGTCCGGACTGGAAGGGGGGGAAAGCGTCCGGACTGGAAGGGGGGGGAAAGTGTGTCCGGACTGGAAGGGGGGGGGAAAGTGTCCGGACTGGAAGGGGGGGAAAGTGTCCGGACTGGAAGGGGGGGGAAAGTGTCCGGACTGGAAGGGGGGGAAAGCGTCCGGACTGGAAGGGGGGGAAAGTGTCCGGACTGGAAGGGGGGGAAAGTGTCCGGACTGGAAGGGGGGGAGGAAAGCGTCCGGACTGGAAGGGGGGGGAAGTGTCCGGACTGGAAGGGGGGGAAAGTGTCCGGACTGGAAAGGGGTGAAAGTGTCCGGACTGGAAGGGGGGGAAAGTGTCCGGACTGGAAGGGGGGAAAGTGTCCGGACTGGAAGGGGGGGAAAGCGTCCGGACTGGAAGTGGTTTAAAGCAGAACTTTCCCTTTTGGGTGGAGCTTCGCTTTAAGTCTTGGCATGCCGAGTCGCACCCTACTGTCAGCAATTACAGCCGTCATACCCGTGTGGTTCTGACTCGGTCGGAGCCGCACGATTTCTGAAGTAGTCCATGCGCTACTTTTGGTGCGATTTTGTGTCCAATGTTTTGCAGATCGCACCTCTAATCAGCACGGCATCCTTCACTGTAAGTCACACATTTCAGTCGGGATTGGTGTGACGGGGGGGGGGGGTTAGGGCCTGTCCACACAATCTGCCATGTGTACAGATAGGTCAGGTCACAGTGACGTGTGTGGGGTACATGCAGTACTTTTTATTGCAGTGTTGCGGCGCAGGGCACCTTATTGCAAAGCCGCTGTGATGAACAGAACTGAATGAAATATCAGTTTGTTACATTTCAATAAAGTTTAAAAAAAACGGTACAATGTGAAGTTGTCAGCGCATCGGCTCCGCTCTCAGCACCGCATCGGCTCCGCTCTCAGCCCCGCATCGGCTCCGCTCTCAGCACCGCATCGGCTCCGCTCTCAGCACCGCATCGGCTCCGCTCTCAGCACCGCATCGGCTCCGCTCTCAGCACCGCATCGGCTCCGCTCTCAGCACCGCATGCGCTGTAACTGCCTTCTAATGCAAATCTTACTAACCTTCTACACCAACATCCTTATGTAACCTGTTTACAGCCTCCAATACCCAAAGCTGGATACAGTAAACTCCTCCATACGGGCACAATTCATCTTCACTTTGCCCAACACCCAGAACATTCCATATAGCCACTGATAGGAATGACGGGGGAGGGGGAGGGGGGGGTCATACCAGGTTTCTGTATTTCTCTCCTCTTCATGGTTCGCCCTCGTTTTTGTCCTGTGGCTCTGCTTCCCTTGTGACCACCGTGACTTGTGTATCTTGCAGCCTCTGAATGTGGTCACCTGGTCTCCCTGTGGACAGTACATCATAGCGGGAAGTATTGACGGCTGCATTGTGGCCTGGAACGTGGGCACCAAAGCTTGCTTGGAAAGGTAATATCTGCATTGTACAGCATTCAGAGAATGACTTCAGCAGTGAATGTAATGGGAAGAAAATGATCTAGTTCTGGGAGACCTGATAGAAACTATATTGCCAAAAGTAATGGGCCTGCCCTCCCAATCATGTGATTCAGGTGTTCCAATCCCCTCCCAATCATGTGATTCAGGTGTTCCAATCCCCTCCCAGTCATGTGATTCAGGTGTTCCAATCCACTCCATATCATGTGATTCAGGTGTTCCAATCCCCTCCATATCATGTGATTCAGGTGTTCCAATCCCCTCCCAATCATGTGATTCAGGTGTTCCAATCCCCTCCCAGTCATGTGATTCAGGTGTTCCAATCCCCTCCACATCATGTGATTCAGGTGTTTCAATCCCCTCCATATCATGTGATTCAGGTGGTCCAATCCCCTCCATGGACACAGGTGTATACAATCATCCCCTAGGCATGCAGACTGCTTCTACAAACATTGGTGAAAGAATGGGTCGCTCTCAGGAGCTCAGTGACTCCAAGCGTGGTCCCGTGATAGGTGGCCACCTGGGCAATAAGTCCATCCGTGACATTTCCTGGCTACTAAATATTCCACGCTCAACTGTTAGTGGGATTATAACAAAGTGGAAGCAACTGGGAACAACAGCCACTCCGCCACCAAGTGGTAGGCCACGTCACATGACAGGGCGGGGTCAGCGCATGCTGAAGCGCACAGTGCGCAGAAGTCGCCAACTGTCTGCAGAGTCAATAGCTAAAGACCTCCAAACTTGGTGTGGCCTTCAGATGAGCCCAACAACAGTGCGTAGAGAGCTTCATGGAATGGGTTTCCATGGCCGAGCAGCTGCATCCAAGCCTTCCATCACCAAGTGCAATGCAAAGCGTCGGATGCCGTGGTGTAAAGCACGCTGCCACTGGACTCTAGAGCAGAGGAGGCGTGTTCTCTGGAGTGACCAATCACACTTCTCTGTCTGGCAATCCGATGGACGTGTCTGGGTTTGGTGGTGGCCCGGAGAACGGTATTTGCCTGACTGCATTGTGCCAAGTGTAAAGTTTGGTGGAGGGGGGGGATTATGGGGTGGGGGGTTTTTCAGAGGTTGGGTTGGCCCCCTAGTTCCAGTGAAGGGAACTCTTAAGGCGACATTTTGCACAATTTCATGCTCCCAACTTTGTGGGAGGAGTTTGGGGATGGCCCCTTCCTGTTCCAACATGACTGCACACCAGTGCACAAAGCAAGGTCCATAAAGACATGGAGGAGCCAGTTTGGGGTGGAGGAACTTGACTGTCCTGCACAGAGTCCTGACCTCAACCCCATAGAACACCTTTGGGATGAATTAGAGCGGAGACTGTGAGCCAGGCCTCCTCCCCCGACATCAGTGCCTGACCTGACAAATGTGCTTCTGGAAGAATGGTCCAACCTTCCCATAGACACCCTCCTAAACCTTGTGGACGGCCTTCCCAGAAGAGTTGAAGCTGTTATAGCTGCAAAGGGCGGGGCCAACTCAATATTGAACCCTGCGGACTAAGACTGGGGGGCCATTAAAGGTCATGTGTGTGGGAAGGGCGGGGCAAACTCAATATTGAACTCTATGGACTAAGACTGGGGGGCCATTAAAGGTCCTGTGCGTGGAAAGGGCGGGGCCAACTCAATATTGAACCCTACGGACTAAGACTGGGGGGCCATTAAAGGTCCTGTGCGTGGAAAGGCTGGCGGGACAATACTTGGGGCAATATAGTGTATTACCGGAATGGCAATAACAACATCTGCTTTTTATTGAACATTCCGGGCGGAGTCAGACCAAACATTACATTGTTGCACCCATGTCAGTGGATCGCTCCTTTCAGCGGGGGAGAATTGTTTTGACTGATGAGTATTTCGGAGGTTATAGTAACATAGGTAAATAAAACATAATTTGGCCGCAATTCTTCCCCCCTTTCTGTCCTAGGGTCAAGCATGAGAAGGGTTTCACCATCTGCGCTCTGGCCTGGCACCCTAAGCTGCCCCAGGTTGCCTACACTGATAATGAGGGCAATCTCGGCCTGCTGGAGAATGTCTGCCAAGGTGCTGCAAAGTCCGTGGAGAAGGTAAGTCGTCTTTATATACAACGTATACTGAAAGGGTCGGTTTATCCCCTTTGCACCGGAACCTCCCGGCCCTTTAAGAGTTTCAGAAGCCGGGAGGCAGGGCGCGGTTTTTTTAGGGTCATGTGACCTCCGTGATTCACTGTCACGGCGGTCACATGATCGGAAAAGGTCCTGATCGCAAGGGGAGAGCGGGACCTTTCCGTGAGTCACGGACATATGTGCTGGGAGCGCGCAGGGCGTGCGCTGTCAGCACATACATATGTTCAAATGGTACGCAAATATGTGGCCGCTCAGCATCAAGGTCCAGACGCCGAGAGGCCACATATTTTCGTGCGCTCGGCGTCTAGGGGTTGAATAAAGAAGCATTGCTCCCACTGTTGTCTAGACTCACCTGCACTCTGCTCCCAACCAATCAGTTCAAAATGTAGGCCCATTTCACACGAACGGACCGATGGGGTCCGCCTGTCCGGTTTTCACGGTCCATCCATAGACTTCAATGGACCGTCGGGTGTCAGTGGACAATAGTCCATTGACACCCGCCAGCATCCGATCCGATCCCGTACGCCAAAAACAGACGGATGGGGATCCATTCCCCCATCCAGCGGATCGGATCGTTTGACAATCGGGTGGAAATTGACAGGCGGTCTTTTTCCATCTGACCGCCCCAATGAAATCAGCGGCCAGTGTCTGTGTCCGCTCTGCTGCAGCGGAGCGGACACAGACCTTTTTTATCCGCTTGCTCAGCGGGAATCAGCATAGAGATCCCCCCCACTGAGCAGGCGGACCCGCTGACGGCTCCGCCCCATCTGTAAGGGGCCATAGAGTCTTGTTGTATAGGACTTAGGACTCTCAGCCTGTGGTCACATGCAGGGCTGATGTTAGAAACCACAGGGCCCCCATACAGCCAACCTGACAGGGCCCCCATACAGCCCACCTGACAGGGCACCCTTTCCCAACAAAAAAAGAAAGTTTAATATGCTTCAGTTATGAATGAACACAGTGAGCGATGGGTACCGATCCCTCATTGTGTTCATTCAGGAAAAGAAGGGGCTGGAAACTGGACACTTCCTCCATTTTCCATCCTGAAGGATCCTATTGCAGCTTGCAGTGCGCTTGCAGCTGCTGGTGGGAAGGAGAGGAGGGAAGCCGGCAGTGTTACAAGGGTGAGGTGTCTAGGCAGCAGGGGAAACGTATTGTGCACAGGGATAGGATGGTGATGGGTGGGCCGGGATGATGACGGGTGGGCCGGAATGGGGGTGGAGGGGTTGACAATTAGTGGAACCCCCTGTATGGCTCTCTCTACAGCAGTTGAAAGGCAGCGGGAGGAGAGAAGAGGCCGGCTATCAGGTGGCTGTAATTGCCTCCCGCTGTGCCGATCCCTCTCCCTGCCCACATCCTATTCATGCAGCTGCCTGGGCCCCATACAAGAGGACTGGTGGTACCCCCTTATCCACGGCCCTGGTCATGTGACAGGGGGTAACGGCCACTCAGATCATTACCCACTGATTCCATCCACGTGTGCCCAGCAGAATCCCACCCCCCCTCCCCCATAAATGCTGGGGCGGGGCAATCGCATCATTGCTTGCTAGGACGCCAGCAGTCCTAGCGACTAGTAATGTGCTTTCCCTGCTCTAGTAGTCCTCCTACCAACCAATGATGTGATTGCCATGCTCCAGCATTTATGGGAGGACTAGGTTTCCTCTGCTAGGATGCCAGCGGTCCTAGCAGCCAACCATGGCACCAGGGGGTCGGAGAGAAATCTGGGCTGGGCACCGGCAGGCTGGTCTCCATATTACTATACACAGACCAGCACACCCCACTGCCAGCCAATCAGGGTACTTTCCTGGACTGTTGATGTGGGCCGGATAAAATCTTTTAGCGGACGAGATTCAACCCATGGGTGGTAGTTTCATATACGGCTCTGTGACGTTCCACTCTTCTGTTCCTCAAAGACCTCCGCGGCCACCACCAAAGATTACGATGCGTTGTTTGATGAGGACGGCGATGATGAAGACTTCCTGAACACGGACATGATCGATCACCAGGCGTCTGTCGGTGATGAGGAGGAGGAGGATGATAACTTTGGACCTGTATCAGGCCGAGCCAGAATCCGGGCCATCCTGGATGATGATGACAATTCTCTAGGTATTGACATTTGTTCTTGTTAAAGCTGGAGTTGGATACAGCGGGGGAAATAATGATCTGACCCCCTGCAGATTTTGTACATTCGTCCACTTACACAGAAATGAAGGGTCTATAATTGTTATCATAGGTGTATATTAAATGATAGAAACAATATCAACCAAAATCCAGAAAAAAAAACACGATAGAAATGTTATAAATGGAATTGCATTTCAGGGAGTAAAATAAGTATTTGATCCCCAAGCAAAACATGACTTGGTACTTGGTGGAGGAACCCTTGTTGGCGAGGGCAGAGGTGAGGCACGTTCCTTGTAGTTGGTGGAGGGACCCTTGTTGGCGAGGGCAGAGGTGAGGCACGTTCCTTGTAGTTGGTGGAGGAACCCTTGTTGGCGAGCACAGAGGTGAGACGTTCCTTGTAGTTGGTGGAGGAACCCTTGTTGGTGAGCACAGAGGTGAGACGTTCCTTGTAGTTAGTGGAGGAACCCTTGTTGGTGAGCACAGAGGTGAGACGTTTCTTGTAGTTGGTGGAGGAACCCTTGTTGGTGAGCACAGAGGTGAGACGTTTCTTGTAGTTGGTGGAGGAACACTTGTTGGCGAGTGCAGAGGTGAGACGTTCCTTGTAGTTGGTGGAGGAACCCTTGTCAAGCACCAAGGTGAGGCGTTCCTTGTAGTTGGTGGAGGAACCCTTGTTGGCAAGCACCGAGGTGAGGCGTTCCTTGTAGTTGGTGGAGGAACCCTTGTTGGCAAGCACAGAGGTGAGACATTCCTTGTAGTTGGTGGAGGAACCCTTGTTGGCGAGCACAGAGGTGAGACATTCCTTGTAGTTGGTGGAGGAACCCTTGTTGGTGAGCACCGAGGTGAGGCGTTCCATGTAGTTGGTGGAGGAACCCTTGTTGGCAAGCACCGAGGTGAGGCGTTCCTTGTAGTTGGAGGAACCCTTGTTGGCGAGCACAGAGGTGAGATGTTCCTTGTAGCTGGTGGAGGAACCCTTGTTGGCGAGCACAGAGGTGAGACATTCCTTGTAGTTGGTGGAGGAACCCTTGTTGGCGAGCACAGAGGTGAGACGTTCCTTGTAGTTGGTGGAGGAACCCTTGTTGGTGAGCACAGAGGTGAGACGTTCCTTGTAGTTGGTGGAGGGACCCTTGTTGGTGAGCACAGAGGTAAGACGTTCCTTGTAGTTGGTGGAAGAACCCTTGTTGGCGAGCATAGAGGTAAGACGTTCCTTGTAGTTGGTGGAGGAACCCTTGTTGGTGAGCACAGAGGTAAGACATTCCTTGTAGTTTCTGGAGGAACTCTTGTTGGCGAGCACAGAGGTGAGACGTTCCTTGTAGTTGGTGGAGGAACCCTTGTTGGCGAGCACAGAGGTGAGACGTTCCTTGTAGTTGGTGGAGGAACCCTTGTTGGCGAGCACAGAGGTGAGACGTTCCTTGTAGTTGGTGGAGGAACCCTTGTTGGTGAGCACAGAGGTGAGACGTTCCTTGTAGTTGGTGGAGGAACCCTTGTTGGCGAGCATAGAGGTAAGACGTTCCTTGTAGTTGGTGGAGGAACCCTTGTTGGTGAGCACAGAGGTAAGACATTCCTTGTAGTTTCTGGAGGAACTCTTGTTGGCGAGCACAGAGGTGAGAGGTTCCTTGTAGGTGGTGGAGGAACCCTTGTTGGCGAGCGCAGAGGTGAGAGGTTCCTTGTAGGTGGCGGAGGAACCCTTGTTGGCGAGCACAGAGGTAAGATGTTCCTTGTAGTTGGTTCCCAGGTTTGCAGACTTCTCAGGAGGGATTTTGATCCACTCTTCTTTATAGATCTTCTCTAAATCCTTAAGGGTTCTTGGCTGTTGCTTGGCAACTCGAAGTTTCAGCTCCATCCATACATTTTCTATAGGATTAAGGTCTGGAAACTGGCTAGGACACCCCATGACCTTAACCGCATCCCGACCGCTCTATAGGAGAAATACTGCTACAGGGCAGCACGGTATGCAAAATCACGTGATTTTGTGTTTTCAGGTAGGGGGCGTGTTCGAGGCGCGCACACGCCATACCTGCACTGCCATTCGCGGACAAGGCTGTCGATCACCGGGTCCTGGCTGGTGATTACTCGCCGGCACCAGGTGATTTCTGAGGATCTCCGACGGGGAGGAGAACTGTTTTGTTTACTAACAGTCCTCCTCCCTGTCAGCTCGGGCACACTGCACAGCCATCCAGAGCAGTGATTGAGTACAGTGAAGCAAACAGACCCCGCCCCCTAGTAAAACACTCCATGCACACAGTTAACCCTTTGATCTCCCCTCATGTTAACCCCTTCCTGCCCAGTGCCATTAGTACAGTGTCAGTGCTTTTTATTAGCACTGATCACTGTATTGATGTCAGTGACACCAAGTCAGTTCCCCTCCCCCAGTGTCAGAATGCCGTCGCAGTCGCTGATCGCCGCCATTACTAGTAAAAAATTTTAAACAAATCCCAGTATCTATCCCGCCATTTTTAGATGCGATAACTTTCACGTAAACCAATTAGTTTACACGTATCGGGGTTTTTTTTTTTAGCGAAGACACGGAGCGGGAGACATTTTGGCCGAAATTTATGATGAAGTTTGATTTTTTACATTTTTTTTACTGGACATCTTTAATAGCAAAAAGTCTAAAATATTGTTTTTTTCCTCATAATTGTCGGTCTTTTTTTACAGTGCAAAAAATAAAAAACCGCACAGGTGATCAAATACCACCGATAAAAGCCTAATTAATGGGAAAAAAGGACGTAAATTTCATTTGGGTGCAGCGTTGCATGACTGCGCAATTGTCAGTTAAAGTAACGCAGCTCCGTAACGCAATAAATGGCCTGGTCAAGAAGGGGGGGGGGGGGAGAATCCTTAGGAGGGGGAGTGGTTAATGTGCTTCTTCTTGGGCCGCTCCTTTGTTGCCTCCATTACAGCCTGTACGTCATACTGATTGACTTTACTCTTGCTTGCTTTAGATGTCCCGTCTCTAAAGTCTGTTGGTGTGGAAAAGCCAGACGGGGTTCGACGAGGATGACCGATCTACCGCCGCCGAAACCTGTTCCATCGTTCCCTTCAAAGCCGGTTTATAGTGGGCCGATGCCAACACCACCGCAGAAACCCTTTCCAGCCGGGCTCTACCCCGGCGCATCTCATGCACCGCTTCATGGTGAGTGTGACGGGAGTGACTTTGGATGGGGGGGCCCATGGAACACAGCTCACTTTGGAGAGGTGGGGAGACCCCTGTCTCAGCTCCCCATATCCCTCTTATGTGTAAGTCACCCTGTGCCTGTTAGGGGTACAGGGTGATCTGTCCTAATATTGGGGTGGGGGGTTGTGGATTGTTTAATGCCATGTGGTTGCATCCCATTGTTCTATTGTGTGTCTGGCTTGGGAGCAAATTATTATGGGATGTATGTGTTTGTGTGTATTGGCTTGGTGGGGGGGTGTCTCCAGCAGCCCTCCCTCCTGATGGAACTGTCTGCTGGTGTGTCTCTTGTTACTGCAGATTGCCCTGTGTCATTATGCAGGGAGGGGGGATTGTTCCCCTGAGTGTATATATCTTGTGTCTGTGTTAAAATAAACTAGTCTACTTCCTGGATCTGTGTTCGGACAGATTGGGGTGTCGTTTAGTATTGTATGGTCAGCGGTGGTGTCCGTGTGTCGGTGTTCGGACAGATTGGTGTCGTCTAGTCCTGTATGGTCTCTGTGGTGTCAGTGGTCAGTGTTTCGGACAGATTGGTGTCGTCTAGTCTTGTATGGTCAGCGGTGGTGTGTCTGTGGTCGGTGTTCGGGATAGATTGGTGTGTCTGGTCTTGTATGGTCAGCGGTGGGGTCCGTGGTCGGTGTTCAGACAGATTGGTGTCGTCTAGCCCTGTATGGTCAGCGGTGGTGTCCGTGGTCGGTGTTCGGACAGATTGGTGTCGTCTAGTCTTGTATGGTCAGCGGTTGGTGTCCGTGGTCAGTGTTCGGATAGATTGGTGTGTCTGGTCTTGTATGGTCAGCGGTGGGGTCCGTGGTCGGTGTTCGGACAGATTGGTGTCGTCTAGCCCTGTATGGTCAGCGGTGGTGTCCGTGGTCATGTTCGGACAGATTGGTGTCGTCTAGCCCTGTATGGTCAGCGGTGGTGTCAGTGGTCGGTGTTCGGACAGATTGGTGTCGTCTAGTCTTGTATGGTCAGCGGTGGTGTCCGTGGTCAGTGTTCGGACAGATTGGTGGCGTCTAGTCTTGTATGGTCAGCGGTGGTGTCCGTGGTCGGTGTTCGGATAGATTGGTGTGTCTGGTCTTGTATGGTCAGCGGTGGTGTCCGTGGTCGGTGTTCGGACAGATTGGTGGCGTCTAGTCTTGTATGGTCAGCGGTGGTGGTGTCCGTGGTCGGTGTGTTCGGACAGATTGGTGTCGTCTAGTCTTGTATGGTCAGCGGTGGTGTCCGTGGTCGGTGTTTCGGACAGATTGGTTCGTCTAGCCCTGTATGGTCAGCGGTGGTGTCAGTGGTCGGTGTTCGGACAGATTGGTGTCGTCTAGTCTTGTATGGTCAGCGGTGGTGTCCGTGGTCGGTGTTCGGACAGATTGGTGTCGTCTAGTCTTGTATGGTCAGCGGTGGTGTCCGTGGTCGGTGTTTCGGACAGATTGGTGGCGTCTAGTCTTGTATGGTTTTTTGTCAGCGGTGGTGTCCGTGGTCGGTGTTCGGACAGATTGGTGGCATCTAGTCTTGTATGGTCAGCGGTGGTGTCTGTGGTCGGTGTTCGGACAGATTGGTGGCGTCTAGTCTTGTATGGTCAGCGGTGGTGTCCGTGGTCGGTGTTCGGACAGATTGGTGGCGTCTAGTCTTGTATGGTCAGCGGTGGTTTCCGTGGTCGGTGTTCGGACAGATTGGTGTCGTTTTGTCTAGTCTTGTATGGTCAGCGGTGTGGTGTCCGTTGGTCGGTGTTCGGACAGATTGGTGTCGTTTGTAGTCTTGTATTGTCAGCGGTGGTGTCCGTGGTCGGTGTTTGGACAGATTGGTGGCGTCTAGTTCTTGTATGGTCAGCGGTGGTTGTCAGTGGTCGGTGTTCGGACAGATTGGTGTCGTTAGTCTTGTATGGTCAGCGGTGGTGTCAGTGGTCGGTTTTTTCGGACAGATTGGTGGCGTCTAGTCTTGTATTGTCAGCGGTGGTGTCCGTGGTCGGTGTTTTGACAGATTGGTGTCGTCTAGTCTTGTATGGTCAGCGGTTGTGTCTGTGGTCGGTGTTTTTTTGACAGATTTTTGTGTCGTCTAGTCTTGTATGGTCAGCGGTGGTTGTCTGTGGTCGGTGTTTCGGACAGATTGGTGTCGTTAGTCTTGTATGGTCAGCGGTGGTGTCCGTGGTCGGTGTTCGGACAGATTGGTGTGTCTAGTCTTGTTTGGTCAGCGGTGGTGTCCGTGGTCGGTGTTTTCGGACAGATTGGTGGCGTCTAGTCTTGTATGGTCAGCGGTGGTGTTTTGGTCGGTGTTCGGGACAGATTGGTGGCGTCTAGTCTTGTATGGTCAGCGGTTGGTGTCGGTGGTCGGTGTTCGGACGGGGAAGTGGGGTCTAGTGGAAGTACCGAAGCGCAGTCTTTTTCCGTTACAGTGTGTGACCAGCAATATTCCCGTTGCACACGTTCCTGGATTGGGCTTGGAGGTCGATGAGCGCTGCAGCAACTGCCAGCTGAAAACTGGTGACATGACAGACTG